TCTATATCCATGGTGAAGTGGATATTTGGATGTTGTTTGTTGAGGAAAATAAGGAATTTACGGAGTTCTGCTCTGCCGTGTCTCCATATTACGAATGTGTCGTCTACATAGCGGAACCAAACTTCTGGCTTTTTTGGTGTTTTTCCGAGGGCCTCTTTCTCGAAGTGCTCCATAAAGATGCACTATCAGAACACAATATCGAAACAGGACATCAAATACAGTTCGATAAAACGACCACAATAGCCAACATTACATCATACTTTCCAAGAAAGTATAGAGAAGCCATAGAAATACAAAAACACCCTAACAATCTAAATAGAGATAATGGCTACAATATAAATAAAATATGGAAGACCATCCTCCCGGCTATTGAAAACCGGCCGAATTCCTCCCCCCCCTTGACTCACAATTTTCTTCTCCCCCCTCCTCCCCCTCACACAAGCAGCGTAATATAAAAGGAACGACCCGGGGGAACAGCTTAGTATCAGGCTGCCCCTCGCCCTGATGAAGTGAACTGCAAGGTTCACGAAACGTTGGCATTCCAAGAATGGATCTAAACACGGAGAAAACCCGCGAAACGCAAGATTGTCACATAGGTAACACCCGTGAAAGCCTCAAGAATATTATTGAGAATTACTTTTCTAAACTTAAATTAATCTTTATTAGAAAGCTCTTTATTTTCCCTTTAGAGTAAGGTTAATAAGAAGAATGAAGAGATTATGACTGAAGTATTATTTAATTGCTTTCCAAAACCACATAGTCTTCAGAATTCAGGTCTTTTGTTTTCATTCTTTTGTACCTCTGAAATTGCTTGTAGTCTCTCAATATTTCGATTACGAGAAAATTGATCGATCGATACCATTGAAATTAAAATCTAAATTTCCCTTGTATAATACTTGTAATTCAATAGTCCGTACAATAATACAATTCGTGAAAGAGGTTGTTAAAATATCAGAACTTCGCTCTCGAACGCGTATTCAATAGTCGGTGTGTCGAAAAAATAAGAAAAGAAAAGAAAATTCGTGAAATCTTTCAGAAAATGCTAATCTATCATCCGGAAACTTTAATGTGCGTGATATAATTCTCGCGACGCACAAAACGAGCTACGAAGAAACTCGATAAACAGCCGTGTGGCGCCTTGCGGTGCGTCCTTGCCTCGCGCGAGCGACACCGGCACCAAAGTCCTTGTAAAGGAAAAACCACCCACGCAACATTAAGCGATACACCGCATGCTTGTGCGTGCCCCGTAAGCGTGTCAGTAAATGAGATCCAGTGCATAATCAATTTCATCGTTGCGTGTTATTCTGTCAAGCCGCAATCGAGATCCTTGTTAACCGTGGAAAAAAAAACTCTTGAAAATGCTGGGGGTACAGTCGATAATTATAAGGAAGCAAATTATGAATATAGAAAGCAAATTTGATTTTCACATCGAGTCCCGTTAGATTTATGAAATATTAACCCGAAATTATGTCGTCGTGTGGTCACTCGTGATATTTGATATCAAATAGACTAATAATCCTTGAATACGTGAGATACATTATTAATGATTGTAGGAAACATTGTCGGAAAAGTTAACGTAGTTAAGGCCAATCAACAGTTATGGTTGCGCACCATAGTTGAAAACGAGTTAACCATGGTCTCTATGGTAACACTCGAGGGTCGATTTTCTCTTAAGCGGCGACCTTGTTCTCGTCACCACACCCCTTTACTTCTCCCCTTTAATTGTTGTCCGTGTCTATAACTTTCTACCTCCTCATTTTCCCCATTACATCTCCAACGTAAAATGTTTCCTTCTCTGAGAATGACTAAGCTGTTAATTACCTTCACCGTTACTCTCCATCCTGGATGCTGTGTTGACCGTATCGCCGAACAGGCAGTATCTCGGCATTTTAAGACCTACTACACCAGCCACGCATGGTCCTACAAGGAAACACATGTACGGTCCAGCACTATATATTTTATGTTATTTTTATTACTGACGTTATTTTAATACCGTTTTTCCGAAAAAAGATAATGAAAATGATGTAATAGTTATAAAAATATCTGAAACAGTTTTCGTTTTGCGGACGTTTTTAAAAAAGTATAATTTTTATATATTATACTTTCTATTTTTTTCAAGAAGATTCTCTCTAATAAAAGATATCTTTTAAGTACCATTTTATGTCGTTAGAACAATTTCGTAAAAACATTTTTATTTTTTCCTTTAACATTGTTTTTCGTTTGTTGATACTTGAAGAGCTAATTTTCCATTTTTTGTTAAAAAAAATTTAACAAGCACTTACTTTCGCGAATACGTTAATTATTCTTTTTAGACAATGTAGAAACGACGGTTGTCCTTCGAGTCTATTTAAAAAGCAATTAATATTTTACTAATTATAACTAACCGTTCGACGCATATATCATACTAAGTCGTTTCTTCTCACGGAACTAATCTAAGTTCTACGCGTTCTTGAAAGATGTCGTTTCGGGTACGCGTGACATTTGGTGTCACCGAGACATACTTTAGCGAAAGATAGAAATGAGATGAATTAGTCCGGAAAATAAAGATTCTCGTCACGTAACAGTTTAAGGACCATCGTGTTATGAATTTAAAACTTAATGGAAATAAAACCGAAAATGATAACCACTTCAGTTGAGAAATACAATCGTTCATACTTTCAACAGTACACGGCTACTAATATTTTCCAACAATACCATTTCAGTTTCGCTTATATATCAAATATCATTTTCAATGAACGGATATTCTGTGAAAGTAAATTTGAGGAAAAATTCCCACTAGGAATTATTTTGAAATATTATACCGCGTTTTTCATTCAATTTGTGTTATTCGTAATACCAATTCATAGCTTGCCATATTCGACCTTTGCTATATGCAATCAATTCGTAACACGAAAGGTAAATTTATAACGTTCTTTAATTTTCTTCAACATATTGAACGTGCTATTATGTTTAATTAAACATCGAAAAGTCTACAAAATATGATATAAAAAGTTTTCGCCTTAGCGAAAAACAAATCGTATATGTAATAATACGTTGCAATAACAAGATGATGTACAATCTATGTACTTATGAAACTTGAAATTAGAAATTCTGAGGTTGCAGGCTATACGCAGTACGAGTCTGGCACAAAGCCTATAGAAGCACGTTAAAATTAATCTTATTTCACTTTACTTGAGCGGAAAAAGGTATAGGATAAAGTGTTGACTCACCAGAATGCATGCCGATACGAAGTTTTAATTGTTCGGTTGGTCTATGGCGAATACTGAATGTCATTACCGTATCCCTGAGGGCTAAACTCATCCTCGCAATTTCTCTAGCGTGATTCATTCCGTTTCTCACTGGTAATCCTGATACAACCATGTAAGCATCTCCTATTGTTTCCACCTGAAACAATCACGTGAAACTATATCGAATGTGTTATTGATAAAAATCATAAAAATAGTATAAAAACATATTTATGATTTTTTTTTATCAATAACACATTCGATATAGTTTACATGTTTATGTAAAATTCTTTTCCTTTATGTTACACGTTATAGTTTTATTTATGTATTTAAATTTATTATTATTCATTTAAAAAGCAAAAGAGCATTTTTACATTAAATCTTTACATCGAATATATTTTCATGTTAAATTTATTTATTTCTATCCACGTTTTATATTATTTTCTGTTCGGGTTAAATAGATTAATTACGAGGAAAAGAAGGTGTCAGACAAAAAGAAAAATCTAATGGCACCATTATATTTAACGAGGACACTACGATCTTAAAAAGTTCGTAATACTGAAGTGAAATAAACGAATTAAAAGTAAAATGTATTTAATGTAGAAATATCACGAAACATAGAACATGAAAAAAAGTGCTGTAAATGTAATGAACGAAAACCATTTTAACAATTAACAATTAAGGCTTTTTAAATTGTAACTCTGATGAATATAAATTTAATAATATATCTAATTTTTTAGATTAAAAGAGCTAAAAGCATGACGATAACACAATTTTATTATTTAAATTACATATACTATTATTTAAATAGTATACATAATCGTATACATTTAAATAGTATACATAATCGTTTCGACTTTGCATATGGTCCTCATCAATTAATATAAATACCTAAGGTATTTCGTTACTCAAAATTTAATTGTTAACTTTAAGATTCGCAGTCCGTCTCGTACGTATAATGCGTCAATCTTCTGAACATAAAACCATTTTATTTCTCAAAATGTCTATTTTAAAAGTTCTCATAATTACTGCTAATATATAATTATAAAAAAAGGACATCCACAAATATTGGCGACGAATTATTAATGAACTTGTATCGAGATGAATTAATCGTAAGCGATGTGATATTAATAGAAAATTAAATATAGATTTTGATAAAGTTTATTTTTCAATAAACTCTGATAATATAGAATCGTCGTCTAAATAAATCGCGGTAACGATTATATGAAATATGCGAAAGAGTATAAATAGTAAATAGATAATTATATATTTAATTTTAATATTCAATATTCTAAAAAGCGAATAGAGAGAAAAGAAAAGAACGTTCAAGAGGAAAAGGGAAAGTGTAATTAAAGTAAAGTAATGGAGTTCAGCGGGATATATATATATAATATAATATAATATATATATAATATAATAAAATTTTACTCTCATTATGTGTATACATATATATATATATTAATATATACTATAATGAGAGTAAAATCATATGACTATACCTTGCTGTACCGAAGAGTGCTTTTTAGAGATTGTAAAATTATAAAGACTTTTGAAAACTAAAATGCTGGCGTTTTATCGGTTAAAAATTCAGAGAAATTTCAATGTTCACTTAATATATTTTATTCTTATTATATTAATTAAATAATCTCGTAAAAGTATCCTCTTTTGTTCGGCAAGATGTTGTATTATCGCGACTTTATCTCACACAATTCATATCACTATACATCCACCACTTTCATATGTATATGTTTTACTTAAAATTATAATTGTAAATTCATGTGTTACACGTGACTCTTATTCTGTCTTTATATCTTTCATACTTATAGGCGCGTTTCTTGCACGTGAATATTATAATAATTTAGATTCAACTCTGCACGCGTGGTAGTGGTGTTATTTTCAAGGAAACTCGCTCTTCTAAGAAATCAAAGGCGATTTGTTTTCCGGGATTGCGGTGTTCCTCTCACCCTCTCCTTTCTTTTCGTCTCTTTCTCGCATTGGTCTTAACGGGTTGAACATCTCGCGATAAACTCCAAATCACGGGCACGTGGAACATTTTGTAAATATAGAATCGAGGGATTTCGAGCTTGATTTCATGAGAAATACAGCCTGTCAGCTGAGCAATACGATATTCTGGGTGATCGTTTAACTTGAAGACAAAATTGTTGGGAAAATGCAAGGAGGCGAGAGAGACAGAGAGAATGATGTAGACGAAGTTTCTTAATAGAAGAAGTCAGATTCTCACAAATGGAAAAACTTGTCGAAACGGTGAACGCTTTATTCGTTCAGCTTCGATAAAATTGTGCCGGAAGAACTTGGATATTGTTGGTGTGACGCCATCGCACGCGGGTTAAAAGTTTATTGCCATTTCATGAGGCAGCATTACTTTCTCCCAGTTAAAATATTCACCCCCTTTCGACTGAAGCTTTAAATCATCTTCATTTTATGTTCCCGAACACGTTTAAAACAGGTCGATACTTACCTTGTAAACGTCGAAGTTCTCGATAATGGAATCAAAACACGTGTAGAGGTCGTTCAGCAGATCGACCACCTGCAGAGGCGTGCTCTCGGCCGAGAGACTCGTGAAGCCTACAATATCGCTGAAGTAAATTGTCACTTGATCATATGTCTCGGCGATCACGCTTTGTCCGAGGATCAACTGCGACGCCACTGATCTGTTCGCAGAAATAAACAAACACGTGCATTTTATAGACGACCGTAAGCGGAAAAGAAATTTAAGGAATACTATTATGGTTCCGTAGAGATGACTGATCTGCATAATCATTTAGGCTTAGCGAACCCATGAGCTCAATATACAGCGGATGTATTTATATATTGTATAACCACAATATTCATGTGTCGTATATATTCATATATAGTATATATATATATATGTTTTAGCACAATGAACATTTAAGGAAAAATAAAAAGAGAGTTATAGTATTATTTGATTTAAAAATAAATAGAAGAATAAGAATACAAATCGTATTCCATTAAAATGGAGCAAGAAGACTATAGTTTATTTTTTATTTATATTCCTTAATTGTAAGAAAGAGTAAATAATTTTAAAAGAGGCATAATATAATAAGATTTCTACAAGGAATTTGGGAATTCTCGACTTTTCCAATTTCTTCGATGAATTTGTACAAATTTTTAATTAAAAAAAGGAAATTTTTAATTAAATAAAGGAAATTTATTTTTCTGGATTAACTTTTTTCGCATAAAATTTATTTTAACTTTTTATCAAGAACGTTCGACAAATTTTAAAATTAAATTTCTAGAAATTAATTAAGAGAAAATTATGTGTGGTGTTTTATTAGTCTATTTTGAAACATGTTTGAAACTCTAAAAAAATATTTATATATGCCTTTTACAAAGTCAGTGCACGAAGATATTATATAATGTTTATACATACATATATAATTTTATGAAAAATATTATATTTAAAAGAGCTTATTTTGCTAAAATTAAACTCTGTACAAAAATAAAAAGCATTGCTTTTGGAATGAATAGTAAGGTATTATTATTGCGCACAGAAATTTTGTCATCCCGATCTGTGTTTCGAATACGAATTGAATATCACCGCATCATGTACCGTGATATGATATCGATTAAACGGCTGCGATAGTGCAGTAATTACATCACCGGCGCTCGACAAAAGAATTCTCACTCACGAGAGACGAGTGGTGATAAAGTTTTCGAAGCTTTCAACAAATTTTCCTCGTACTTCGCTTCCTTTTATCTTCGTAAAATTTATTAAGGTTCACCTATTTATTCGCTAAAAGTTATGTAAGTTATGTGAAAAGTTATATGTTAAACGTGTACGTTGTAATGAAATAGTTTTGTTTAAACGAGCATTATATATATATATATAAAATATGTATACAATTCTTTTATTTTTATCGAAATTTCAACCAGATGAAATGATATTGATATTGATGTCTTAATATCGCCGTTTTTAATTGATTCTATCGCAAGTATGTTATATTTCCAAGCAAATATAAAAAACTTTGTTTTATATCATACCATAATGAAAACATATAACTTTGCTTTATCACACCGTAATAAAAACGTAATAATTACATCAATATACGACGAATTTTAATAAATTATTTTGAGACTTATTACATTTTATATTACTCCAATCGTACGTAATATTGAATTAAAAAGACTCAGTTTCTGTTAGATATATAATAATCATATTGCAATTCTACAGATTAGATTTTAATGGCGCTTTATACTCTCATTCCGTTACCTACTTATCGTCTCATAGATATACGTATTGACAAGTTTCACTCTTTTAGATCAATTTCAATTTTAAAGTTGACCAACTTTCGATATTCTTTCAATCGCGGCCTGTCGCGTGAGCAAGTCGTTCGATTCGACCGTGATTTTCTATTTCCATGTTACACCGTTCAATTTCACGCTGTCTGTAACACGAAAGGATTCTTCCAACCGTTAATTTACGTCATGGCGCATTGTCGCATCTTGATATAAAAGGCATTTGATATCTCGATCATTATTAGGCATTTGCATTAATTAGAGTTTAATGTTCATACGTTTGATAAGAAAAAATTCTTGTTTACATTCATTAATGTCTAATTTATACCCAGTTAAATTAACATAATTCTAACAATAAAACTTGATAATAATTTAGGTATAAATAATTCAGATAAAAAAAGTGATGATACGAAAATTCAGCGAAAAGTTAATTACAACTAGCAACAAAGCAAACTCAAATTTTGTGCATGCAATTTATAATAATTATTGGAATTAATAAAAACATTCTTTTAAATAAAGAGTATTATAAAATTAATAAAATAATACAATTTTTTTAAAATCGAAATATATTTTGAATCTACAATGTGATATATAAAAAAATATATATGTAAATATATATATTTATAGGAAAGACCGGGGATCCGTTGGCATAAAAGGCAAGTTGGTTTTGCGTTCCATTTATGTATTTATGACAAAGAAACAATGGAACAGTTACCGCGAAATATTTTTTTATAACATAGGTACTTTTTTTCCATACAACATAGATAAGTTTCATAATTTTTAAGTTTTTAAATCAAACAATAAAAAGTATTACAATAGAAAAATAGAAAAATCTAACTCAAGAGGAGGCAAGTAAATTTCATAATTTCGTATTAATGTCCTTCGGCTTGAGAAAGTAAATCTAAGTGATGTATTATTAGCTAAAAGAAAAATGTCTGTTAGTATACGTTTGAGTAACAATATTTGTTATAATAAAATGATAAAAATCAGACGTGTGTAGGGATGGGATACGTTGGCTCATATATAGGATGAGTCACTTAAGACCGGCCACCCGAATAACATCCACAGTTTTGGAGATAGGAAAAAATGTTTCAGATGAAAGTGGAACGGTTTCAAGGGGGACGTATTTTGGTCATGTTGTTTTTTTTTTCTAGGTGGAGGCATCAAAAAGATATGAAGATCACCTCCTTTTTTTTTAAATGAAATTATAGAATTTTTTTTATGTAATATGATTCCTCTAATTATTCTACATATAAAATTATTAAGGTAGAGATGTAAAAAAACAATAGTTTACGAGATATTTTATACTTTATTGTGACACATATTGACGTAAAATGTTAAATAATTCGTAACTTATTAATTTTTTGATAATCGTACCTTAATACTTTTATGAACAGAATAATGAGATGAATCAATTGGTGGAAAGAAGACACATAGTTGCTTATTTAAAAAATTATTCATTTTGCATATATACGTATATACGTATTTTTTTTAAAGCAACTGTGTGTTTTCCTTCCATCAATTGATTCATCTCATTATTCTATTCATAAATATTAAGTATTAAGGTACGATTATTAAAAAATTAATAGTTTACGAGTCACATTTAATATTTTATGTTAATATATACCAAAATAAAGTATAAAATATCTCGTAAACTATTGATTTTTTGATATCTCTACCTTAATATTTTTATACGCAGAATAATTAGAGGAATCATACTGTGTAAAAAAAATTATACAATTCCATTTAAAAAAATGGAGATGACCTTCAAATCTTTTTGGCGCCTCCACCTAAAAGAAAGACAACACGACCAAAATACGTCTCCCTTGAAATCGTTCCACTCTCATTTGAAACATTTTTTCCTATCTCCAAAACTGTGGACGTTATTTGGGTGACCGGTTTTAAGTGACTCACCCTGTATAAGAAAAGATTAGGTTGACTTGCTTTATCGCACGTGTGAACATTTAATTACAGCCTAACTGTGAGAAAACGTTTTATATTTAATATATTTCTATATTAAAAAAATAAAGTAAAACTAAAATAATTTAAAAACACTTTAAACACACATACTATATATATATATATATATATTTTAGAACGACCATATATACGAATACATTAAATACAACAGAGAACGTCATCATTTCGATCAAAATTAAATATTTCGAATATATATGTATATAATACAATATAAATTCTTTTATTAAATAATTTTATTTCAGATATGATTGCGCGCTGATAACTTTCGAACTTTCAACACGAACAGTCTGAAACGCTATTAATTCTCCTAAATTCCCCCTAAATTAAATTAGGAAAATTGTAAAGAAATTATTGTAAAAAATATTACCTGTTGAAAATCCGAACGTTATCGGCGCGCAATCATATCTGAAATAGATTTATTTAATAAAAGAATTTATATTGTATTATTCGAAACATCTAACTTTGACCAAAATGATGACATTCTCTATCGTATTTAAAATAATTTATACTTGTTTTTCTTTAACAATATTTTGCTACTTGATATATTATTACAAAATAACTTTGAAAGATTACTATCTATTACTTTTCTATTACGTTTTTATTAATTTAATATAGAGTTTATTATATATACAGGCAATTTACACCGTAATATATTTATGTTATTTACCCCATATATCGGGGCAAGTTGACCATATGCAGCATGTTTGTATTCCATTTATTGTAAAGAAACTATACAGTGTATAGAAATATTACTGGTATAATGAAAATGTAGAAAAAGGTTCTCTCTATCAGTATATTTTAATCGTAATAATTAATTGTTTAAAAAAATCTAATATCGAAATTGTGAAAACTGTGCCAACAAGTTCTCGGAAATAGGGGATCCCTTATTTTTCAAATGTCGCTTTCGAGTTAGGAATCTTATATCTTCAAATTTATTGGTGTCTAAATAATTCGGTTTTTTCGATATTTATAACTGTTTGCTGATACGAAACATGAAAGTTATTTCGGATGAATTTTCCACTTATAGCAAATGTAATGACAGTCGAAATCGTTTTTTCTAAGAAAAATCTGTTTTATTCTGTTCCGTGCAAACTTACTTTGGTAGTAACTGGTAAAGAAGTTCCTCGCATTTACGTTTCTCCTCGAGGTAGTCAGCCGTGCGTTCTTCTACCAATGTTTCTAAATTCGTGGCATACTGTTCCATGCGGGATAGTAAATTGTCCAGGATATTGCTGCTCTCATAGTCTCTGAAACAGAGAAAGAATACAATTCATACTTAATTTTGTATTTAATTTCGATATATGTGGTGGAGGAAAATGGATTACAAAAAGTACTCAAATCACAGTGGAATAGGATATTGAATTGGATGGATATGTCGCGCAATCGAATATTGATAATCGGATATCAATTGCGAACAATGAGAAGGAATTCTTCAATTTAATCCGCGTCGCCAGTTACATCAATATTGTTTAATCAGTCGAAAAGCGTCTATAGATCAAATACGTAAAGGTACAGGATAGGATAAACCATAATCGAGACAGCCATCGCAAAGGACAATTAATCCAATCTGCGATTGTAGTCGGTCAGACGTAATATCCACGTCATGTAGATATGAGGGACCAATATCGAGAATTGTTTGAGATCGTAATAATCGATTCCCATGAAGGCCATAACCAAGATAACTACTTCACTGAAGATGTTATTGAAAATCAAGTTTTTCATCGATTACACATTTTCTTGGAAATCTGACGATGCGAATTCATAAAAAAGTGAACTGTGCACGTGCATTAAAATGTTAGAATTATTTCATTTCCTTTAAATATTAATAATAAAGAAGAACATACTAGAGAGAATTATTTCATTTAATTTAACCAGTAAAGAGAAAAATTTTCGTTTTAAATCTTGATTACGTATCACAGTGGTAGTCGTTTTACATTTCTATGCGTAATATTCTTACTTATTTCGATAACATCTACAATGCGACAAAAAATCCTTTTCATTAAAGGAAACATTCCATTCCTTAGCTTGCTGAAAAATTATACGAGAAAAGAAATATTTGTCCGCTTGTATTTTAAAAATAACATCTCAACTGTACGCGCGCGCGCGCGCGTGTGTGTGTGTGTGTGTGTGTGTGTGTGTGTGTGAGAGAGAGAGAGAGAGAGAGAGAGAGAGAGAGAGAGAGGGGTGTATGCAGCTTCGCTCGAAATTAAGGAGTTGCTTTTAAATTCAGTATTCTCTTTGACAACAACAAAATATTCAAAGAAAATCAAGCATACAATCCTTGCTTCATATGTAGAGAAAATGGTAAGATATACAATAAGAAAATTTAGTCAGACAGATTATGCGACAAAAGCAGAAAGTTCTGAAAAATAATCCAAAAAAATCATTCATAAAAGATTACATTAAACAAATAACGGTAGACAATAATAAAATAAACGAAGTAATATAGAACACAGATTTGATTTGTAGAAAGTAATTATTTTAGTATAATTTTGACATAAAGAACCATAATGATATATTAGAGGGTTTGCGGGTTATCACCGTGTCTTCTTTCATGGTCGATGCCAACGTTTCGTGAACCATGCTGTATCAGTATCAGTGCACCCCTCGCCCTGATGAAGTGAACAGCATGGTTCACGAAACGTTGGCATCGACCATGAAAGAAGACACGGTGATAACCCGCAAACCCTCTAATATAATCGAAGAAGATAACTGTGGAAGCCTCAAATGCGTAACCATAATGATAATTGGTTATATTAATAAAAATGATGGCGCCATAATTTTCTTTGTAAAATATAAAAAATAAATTTCCGCGATGTAAAATTAATGATAAGAGATAATTTATTGTATGGTTTTATCAATAGAAATATTGGCTATTAGAGATCCTTGTCACTCGAACACATTCCAAGATTTTCTCGTATTTACTTACTTCGTAGAAGAATGAACGGAAATAGCTTCCAATGTTAAGGGTTTACGTCTCAGGTTATTAGGGAAGGTTGACATAACACAACACGCATTCCAAGGATAATAGAAAGGCATGTGAAAAACGACATTCATTAAAGTTTCACTTAGATGCTGTTAAATATCATTGACATTTGGCTAAATTTCGCTAGAAATAATATAATATATATATAATATATATATATAATATATAATATATATACAGGGTGAGTCATTTTAATCTATGGACCCGAATATCTTCCAAATTACGGTATCTATAAAAAAATGGTTTAGAT